ACCACCATTGCGTCACAACACGATAAAACCCCAAAAAGACTGTTAAAAAAGGAACAAGCTTGACTTCAAGCAACAATCCGTACAAATCCAAGCAAATCTTAAAAGGAGGAAATCAATTCGACCAAAACATTAAGAAGAAACGTACAAATAACTCGATTCGCACCGACGAAATTCAGATTAGAACACAAATCGATAGTGAAATCAGACGAACATACAGATCAATTCCAAAGTCCTTTTTTTTTTTTTTTTTTGGAAAAACGATTCAGCAATCATGAATAGGAACAGATCAAAACCCTAATCTGCAACAGAGAAACGAAACAGCCACCGATCATAGAAAAGGAAACACAAAAATTGAAGAGAAAAGTTGACGAGAAGTAAATGGATTAGCATAGAGGTCGGAAAAGAGCGAGAAACAGGAGGGAAGAAACTGTTTCTGTGTGCTAAGGGAGCGTTTGGGAAATAAGCTATCTTTCGTTCTAAATTCTGCGGTTTTACTGTTTTAGATGAATATAATTTATTTTTAAGGGAGGTGGTAATTCTTATGTCAGTCCCTTAATTTTTTGACATGGACAGTTTCATGTTTCATCTCTATTTTTAGACAGTACAGTCCTTAGTAGCCTTGCTAATAATGTCCTAGAATTGAATGGTTGTTCTGTAAGTGCAACTGTAAACCTTAAATCAATAATGGAAGTGAGACGTGGCACGCAATGGAGTTCATGCTAGACCCTCTGATAGCGGAGAAAATGGAGGGTAATTCCTAGGTCATGTTTGGCTGATATAATGGTTATTTTTTTGTTAAATTAAATTAAACTAAATTTAAGAAACCATTTTATGAAGTTAGGTATATCTAAATCTTAATGTTAATGATTTTGTATTAAATTAAGGGATGAATAAAAGACATGTATTTATACTATTTTTTAAGAAGTAAGTATTCCCATATTATTTGATGATGTAAAAGGAAAATTTAGGCATTCAATTTTAGTATATTATTATTAGTTTACTACTAAAATTTTTCAATTTTATCTTATTTAATTTGAGTAAAAAATAACTACTACCAACAACCAAAGACACACCTAACGTTGTAGGCCGTTTGATAATGATGTGTATCACTCAGCTTATGGGTTGGGTTTAATCCTCCTTCCCCTAAAAATTGCCCTAGACAAAAAACAACCAAAGTAAGTCCATAGGAGTTCTCAAGAGAAGATTTTAATATGATCTGAATTACAGAGAAAGTGGATTGGTGGGCTATTTCTTAGAGAAAACAAAAAAAAAAGTTGAATTTTGTCTCACAATTAAACTTGTTATATTTTTATTCTAATTTAATGTGAATAGTAATAGAAGGATTCTTAAAAGTAATACCATAAATAAATTGAATTATTTATAAATTGCTAAACAGAAGTTTGAATTAAAATTGACTAAACCTTATCTCAAGTATGTAATATCAAACTCTAACTTAAATTTAGTAAACTAATAATTATTGATATACAAAATTTAATTTAGAGGTCATAAAAAATCATAATTGTCTGATCGTCATAATAAGATTAAGGTCATTTATTATGTGACCTTTATGTGGATAATCTTAACTTTTTGTTTACTGTTTAATTTAAAAGTTGTATTATTAATTTTTTTTTTAAAATTAAATAAGTAATTCAATTTTACTTAAAACTTATGAGTCGAGTTCAAGCTTATTAACGTAGCCTCGAGCTTCTTGACTCATCACGTATTTGCTTGTACTCGGGCTATCGTGAAGGAGGCTAAATGGTAAATACTATTGTGTCTCAAAATAAAGTTCGTAAGTATAATAATAAAGTTTTGTTTATTATCGTATAAATTATATATTAATAAAAATTTAATTAATTAATAAATT